ACACCAGTTACACCACTGCTTCATCAACTTTGCCTGGGTTTTAAGGCATCCTAGAATTCTAAGTATGACGAACATTTGTTTTAACAACGGCCAATTGGAAATCTTTCACATGGACTAAGGCCAATGTGCATAAACATAAATAATATTCTAGACTGATGATTTATCCATCACGGTGTCTCTTCTGCTTCGTCCCTCTTAGTATGTCGACCACAAATTTAAACATACAGAGACTAAATTTTATTTTATTTTGATTGAATTAGGCCGATAAACCGCCCGATAACCACCCGATAAGAGCTAAACCGATACCAATCCGCCCGATATCTTATCGGGTGGCTAGCAGATTAATACATTTAAAAGCCGATAACCGATAAGCCAAACCGTTAAGAGTAAATAACCGCCCAATTCGCCCGATAAGCAGCTCTAGCCAATGGGTCTCAAGCCATGGCAACTGCAATAGGTCAAGCAAGTCCACTTCCTTCCTTACCTTTAGACTCAATTCTTTATGTTCCTGGTAGTCCTTTTAATCTTATAGTCGTTAGTCGCTTAGCCAAATCACTTAAATCTGTTGTTTTATTCCTTGATGACTTTGTTTTTATACAGGAACGCAGTACAGGGCGGATCATTGGTACCGGACGTAAATCAGATGGACTTTATTACCTTATCTTTGCAAAATCACATGGATTCGCATCTTGTCTTCCTCCAATAACTTGTCCCGTTACTGATTCGCCAGATTTATTACATAAACGGTTAAGACATCCCAGTGTCAAAACTTCAGAAAATAGTACCTGGCTTATCTCAATTGTCCACTCTAGAGTGTGAGTCGTGTCAGCTCGGTAAGCATACCCGCTCCCATTTCCCGCGACGTCTTGATAATCGAGCAGAGTCACCTTTTACTTTAGTCCATTCAGATGTTTGGGGTCCTAGTCGGGTTAGTTCTACCGTAGGATTCCGCTACTTTGTTAGTTTCATTGATGATTATTCCAGGTGCACTTGGATATTTTTGATGAAAAATCGATCTGAGTTGTTTTCTATTTTCCAGACTTTCCACGCTGAAATTCAAAATCAATTTGGGGTTTCTATCCGCACATTTTGTAGTGATAATGCCCTAGAGTATTTGTCTTCTCCATTTCAGCAGTTTATGAACTCCCAAGGGATTATTCATCAAACATCTTGTCCGTACACATCCCAACAAAATGGGGTAGCTGAAAGAAAGAATAGACATCTTATTGAAACTGCTCGTACCCTACTCATACAATCTCATGTTCCGCGACGTTTTTGGGGGAATGCAGTTCTTACATCTTGTTATCTTATTAATCGTATGCCATCTTCAGCTATCCAAAATCAAGTTCCATTCTCTGTCCTATTTCCCCACTTACCTTTGTTCTCTCTACCACCCCGTGTCTTTGGGAGTACGTGCTTTGTTCATGACCTTACTCCAAGAAAAGATAAGTTAGCTCCGCGTGCTCTTAAGTGCATATTTCTGGGTTACTCGAGAATGCAAAAGGGATATCGATGTTATTCTCCTGACCTTCAGTGATTTCTTATGTCTGTTGATGTTACCTTCTTTGAAACTCAATCATACTTCACAGGTCCAGTTAATCACTTAGATATTTCTGAGGTGCTACCCGTCCCTTCTTTTGGAGATTCAGTCCCTATCTCCCATTCATCTTCCTCTATAGCTCCACCACCTACAGTTCTAGTTGCAGTTCCACTACCTATAGCTCCAGTGCCACCACCTAGTCTAGTTCAACCTTCTATAGCTCCACCATTCCTGACTTATCATCGTCGTCCGCCCCCAGCATCAGGCCCAGCTGATTCACGTCTTGCACCTGACCCTCCTAATACTGTGGACTTGTCTCCTCTTAATCACCGATTGCACTACGAAAAGGTATACGGTCCACACTTAACCCCAGTGTTTTGGAAAGCGTTAAGCGCAAAAAACGACGAGGCCTCGCTTCACAGAAGCGAGAAGCAAAACGCGCGCTTTTTTGCTGTGAAGCGCAATTTAACACATAAATAAAAAAAAAATAGGCATAGATAAATGGCTAAGAACTCATTAAAAATAACATATTAAGCAAATGTTTGAATTCATGAATCAAGAAGCAAATAATAGATACTAAAACTAGATAGTGAATAATCCTAAAAAGTCATAACATATTAAGCAAATGCAAAACAAAATCACAAAAGGAGCAACATCCTATTTTTCAACAAGATCTCCAAACTCTTGAAGTGTCATCATGTTCGAGTTATTATATTGGTCATCATCATCTTCTTCTTCATCGGAGGCTTCATTAATTAGGGTTCTACTTGTACATGTACTTATACTTGTAGATACTCTTTCTCTGCTCCTTAAAGTACTTCCCCTAAAACCATAAACATTCTCTTCAACTCCACTTGCCATAGCAACATGACCAAAAGTGAGACCTTCTCCTTCAAACACTTCTTCTTCATGATTTTTGGTGCCTCCGGTTAACCATTCATTTGCTTCATCAATGTTATCCAATAAAATTGGATCAATGATATTGCGAGCTTTGTAACGACGAGCCAATGTTCTATTATATTTTATGAACACAAGATCATTGAGTTTCTTTAGCTCAAGCCTGTTCCTCTTCTTAGTATGAATCTGCATAATAAGATGTAGAAAGTAACTAAGAGGAGTACTTAGGACAATTGAGATAAACTTTAATTTAGTAATAATGTAATATAGCTTCTCACATGTTCATAAACACTCCAATTTCTCTCGCATCCGGATGAGCTACAAGTTAAGCTTTGAACTCTAATAGCAAATTGTTGCAAGTTTGGAACTTCATAACCAAATTGCATCCACCATTCAACTGTAGAAGTATTATTTTAGAAGTTAATAACTTGAAAGTTAAAGCTCTAAAGAGTAAAACAATTGAAAAAAGTTGCTCACGTGGTGCCAATTTGGTTCTGCCTCTAATGGCCAAAGCTAATCCAAGAATTCCATCAGCTGCATATACACACCAAGCTCTTGCCCTATTTTGTCTTGCATCGCTTCATCTGGCACCAACTTTGCAACACATGCATGATACCCCTTCCAAACGTTTAAATCTAAAGTCTTGTTCTCATTGTTTGTGTAAAACAATCTGGGGTTCAAAATATGCCCTGCTGCATGTAAAGGTTGATGAAGCTAATCATCCCACCTTTTATCAATGATTTCAAACACTCTCTCATATTTCCTCCTATCATGATCAAATGCCTTCTCAATAGCTTCTTTAGCCCTATCCATGGCTTCATAAATGTATCCCATTGGTGGTTTTTTCTCCCCATCCACCAAACGAAGTACAATAACCAAAGGATTACTAACTTTAAGTGCTTGAACAGTGTCATTCCAAAAATATGGACCAATAATAAATCTCGCAACTTCTTTCCCAAGAGCTTCCTTTGCATAGATACTCTCACTCCATTCGGTTGACAAGAACAAGGTTCGCAAATTTTGCTTTTGCAGGTAAAAGCTATGCAAGGTCAAGATAGTTGTTGCGAATCTTGTCTTAGCCGGTTTCACTAAATTTCTTTATTTTGTGTATCTCCTCATCATGTTGAACATAACGGCCTTTGACTAATGTAAGAATGTATCTTGATCGCCTTAGCAAAAACTGTAGGAAGTCAAATTTCATAGTTAATAAGTATAAGCAATTAACATGAACGTTAAAAACTTAAAATAGAAAATAAGAACCGCTTGTTCGCCTGTAGAATATGGGGCTAACTTGAAAATGTCACCAAACATCTAGTTGATACAANAAGTACAATAACCAAAGGATTACCAACTTTAAGTGCTTGAACAGTGTCATTCCAAAAATATGGACCAATAATAAATCTCGCAACTTCTTTCCCAAGAGCTTCCTTTGCATAGATACTCTCACTCCATTCGGTTGACAAGAACAAGGTTCGCAAATTTTGCTTTTGCAGGTAAAAGCTATGCAAGGTCAAGATAGTTGTTGCGAATCTTGTCTTAGCCGGTTTCACTAAATTTCTTTATTTTGTGTATCTCCTCATCATGTTGAACATAACGGCCTTTGACTAATGTAAGAATGTATCTTGATCGCCTTAGCAAAAACTGTAGGAAGTCAAATTTCATAGTTAATAAGTATAAGCAATTAACATGAACGTTAAAAACTTAAAATAGAAAATAAGAACCGCTTGTTCGCCTGTAGAATATGGGGCTAACTTGAAAATGTCACCAAACATCTAGTTGATACAATGTGCAGCACAAGGAGTCCAATAAATATTTGAGAAAACTCCTTTCAACGTGTCACCCGCTTTTTGATTCTCACTTGCGTTATCAGTGACAACTTGAACCACATTTTCCGGTCCAACTTTCAATATTGTCTTCTCAAACAAGTTGAACATTTTATTGGAATTGGTTGAGGAGTCACTAGCATCATAAGATTCAAGAAACACACTACCTCTCGGAGAATTCACCAAAACATTAATGACCATTTTTTCATTTTTTGCAGTCCATTTGTCCATCATAATGGAACAACCATAAACTTTCCATTGCGCCTTATGCTCCTCGACAATCTTGTCTGTCTTCTCCACCTCCTTTTTTAGACAAGGAACTCTTACTTCGTGATAGGTAGGGGGTTTCATTCCCGGGCCATATTGGCCAACGGCCTCAATGAATTCACCAAAACTATCGGGTGTAATTCACACAATTAAAAGGGAGCCCCGCATCATACATCCACCTTGCAAAAGCAGCTACAACACGCTCCTTCAAACTCTTCCTACAAGATTCTAGGTCAACAGCTTCACCCTTTCTCTTTTCATTTGGTTTTTGTGAGAAAAAAAGATTAAGAGGACATTTCACATTGCTACCGGCGGTGGATGATCCACTTCCACTTGTTGAATTCTTTCTTTGAGATTTAGAGGGAGGTGGCCTCATTATATCATTGACTTCAAGGTCATCCTCATCCATTTGACTATATTCATCAAGAAGATTAATCATAGATGCTCCATGGCTCATTGGATTTTTTAACTCATTTTTTTTCTCAACATAATCTCACATTTCTTTCTTAATAGTATCCGGAACACTTGGACATTCTTTGACATCTCTAAAACCATCGATTAGATGTCTCTTGTGACGATGTATTCCACCGTTATAAATTTTTTGACAAAAGATACATTGCACTCTTGAGTTATTATTGCCAACTACAACTCCATACGCCCAAGCTGGATCTCTTTTTTGGCTTGATGCCATTGAATAATCAAATTAAATTTACTACAATCAACAACCAAAAAAATAACAATTAATTCACAGAAGAAAATAGAAAACAGAGCATAAAGAGCACTTTTAATAACAGAAAACAGAGCATAAAGAGAGCATAACAGAAGAAAACAGAGCATAAAGAGCACTTTTAATAACAGAAGAAAAAGAAGCCGTTTAGGGAAAAAAATGAGCGCTTAAAAAGTGAAAAAAATTGAAAGAAGAACAGAAGAGAAGAAGAATAATAGAAGAAGACTAGAAGAAGAAGAAGAACAGAAGAAGAAGAAGAAACTTACCAAGATCTGGAGAAGAAGTCATTGGAGCAGCAGTGGTCGTCGCTGGAGTTCGCTGGAGAAGACCTTGAAGAGCGTATGTTTTGGTAACAGATGGTTTATTTGCCCAAAATTTTTAAAAAAGCCCTAGCTGATGCCTTCTGCTCGCTTAAGCGAGCTTTTTCTCGCTTTTTCTAACGCGTCGTTTCTCGCTTAAGCGAGAAAAGCGCACGCTTTTTGAATGTGAGTCACCTTTTTAACAGAAAAGCGCTACCACTGCGCCTCGCGTCGCTTCATCGCTTAAAGCGAGAAGCGAGCGCTTTTAATAACACTGCTTAATCCTAATCCTCATTATGTCGGTTTAAGTTATCATCGTCTCTCATTATCCCATTGTGCATTTGTGTCATCTTTGTCCTCTGTTTCCATCCCTAAGTCTACAGGTGAAGCACTGTCTCATCCCGGATGGCGACAAGCTATGATTGACTAGATGTCTGCTTTACATATGAGTGGGTCTTGGGAGCTTGTTCCTCTTCCTTCGGGTAAATCGACTGTTGGTTGTCGTTGGGTGTATGCAATCAAAGTTGGTCCATATGGCTAGGTTGATCGACTTAAGGCTCGTCTTGTTGCCAAAGAATATACTCAGATATTTGGACTCGATTACAGTGATACTTTCTCTCCCGTGGCTAAAACTGCATCAGTCCGCCTTTTTCTATCCATGACTGTTGTTCGCCATTGGCCCCTTTATCAGTTGGACATTAAGAATGCTTTTCTTCACAGTGACCTTGAGGATGAGGTTTATATGGAGCAACCACCTGGTTTTGTTGCTCAGGGGGAGTCTAGTGGCCTTGTATATCGGTTGCGCCGGTCCCTCTATGGTCTAAAGCAGTCTCCTCGAGCCTGGTTTGGTAAGTTAAGCACAATTATTCAGGAGTTTGGCATGACTCGTAGTGAAGCTGATCACTCTGTATTTTATCGACATTCTGCTGCAAATCTCTATATTTATATGGTCGTTTATGTTGACGATATTGTTATTACCGGCAATGATCAGGATGATATTAGTAAGTTGAAGCAACATCTCTTTCAGCACTTTAAGACTAAGGATCTGGGCAGATTAAAGTATTTTCTGGGTATTGAGGTCGCTTAGTCTAGCTCAGGTATTGTGATCTCACAACGGAAGTATGCCTTAGATATTCTTGAGGAGACAGGAATGACAGGTTGTAGACCTGTTGACACTCGGATGGATCCGAATTCTAAACTTCTGCCAGGACAGGGGGAGCCTCTTAGCGATCCTGCAAGATATAGGCGGTTGGTTGGTAAATTAAATTACCTCACGGTGACTAGACCTGACATTTCCTTTCCTGTGAGTGTTGTGAGCCAGTTTATGGATTCTTCCAGTGATAGTCATTAGGATGTAGTTGTCCGCATTCTTCGGTATATAAAATCAGCTCCAGGCAAAGGCTTATTGTTTGAGGATCGAGGCCATGAGCAGATCGTTGGATGCTCAGATGTTGATTGGGCAGGATCACCTTCTGATAGACGTTCTACGTCTGAATATTGTGTCTTAGTAGGAGGAAATTTGGTGTCTTGGAAGAGCAAGAAACAAAATGTGGTTGCTTGGTCTAGTGCAGAAGCAGAATATCGAGCAATGGCTATGGCCACATGTGAGCTAATTTGGATCAAACAGTTGCTCAAGGAGTTGAAATTTGGTGAGATTAGTCAGATGGGACTTGTGTGTGATAATCAAGCTGCTCTTCATATTGCGTCAAATGCAGTGTTCCATGAGAGAACTAAACACATCGAGATTGACTGTCACTTTGTTAGAGAAAAGATACTCCCGGGAGATATTGCTACAAAATTTGTGAAGTCGAATGATCAGCTTGCTGATATTTTCACCAAGTACCTCACTGGTCCTCGTATTAGTTGTATATGTAACAAGCTCGGTCATATGATTTATATGCAACAGCTTGAGGGGAGTGTTAGTTTGATAGTTAAATAGTAGTATATAATCCTAATCCCATATGTATTAGGAGTAGGACATGTATTATATATATAGGGCTCATTGTATCATTGCCAATTTTAATCAATAATATATTTTCTCCCATGCTTTCTCACAGAAGTATTTGTTTCCATCCAAATTGTGAAATCAGAAATTGGGAATTGGCAGTTATAACTGCCTTAGAAGTTGTTTAACCATATTGTATTTCAAACAGGGGCGGATCTATTAAGGATGGAGGGGGTGCATCGGCAAAGTCTCAACTTTGGCTCCCAAAGATGGGAGTTTGATCCCAGTCATGTGCACTGTTTATCATTTATTCCGTTTGCTGCCTTTAGGACAAGGAGACGGCTTCTCCTCTGTTTTCTTTCTTTTTCGGCAGTTCCTGATGATCTTTTTCTTTCAATTAATTCCTATTGACCTTTTTCCTTTTATTAATTCTTGGTAACTCTCTCTTTCTTCTTCTTTATGCTATCAAAATCTCATATTACCCCATTTCAACTTTGCATTATTTTGCTTGTATCTACCATTATCATTTATCAATAGATAGTGAAAAACCCTTTTTTCTAGGAGAGCAGTTTCAGTACAACTTTTATTCGTTCCATTGGTTTGTCTATAAAACCCGAAAAGACGAATAACCCAAAAACAAACTGAAAATAGGTCAAACCGAACCGATGTATACACTATTTGAGCCGTGTAAATATTCACTATGCTAAAAACAATGTGACACCCTGAACCTCCAAATCCAGCCTTTGTTTCCAAATTCATTTGCTGATTTTGTTATTGAAAGTCTTCCTCTCTCTGGAAAGCTCTGTGCAATTATTGACACTTCTGTACAGGAGTAATTCCCATCCCTGTTTCTTAAGAAGTTTCTGTCCTTTCTTGTTTTCATCATAACAGTAATGTCTCAGAAAATTAGAAAATCCGAGTCTTCTAAGAAGTGTGGGAGAAGAATTGCTACTGAACAAAAACTACTGGGAGATCCATAACATCAATCAATTGGAGAGGGAGAATTTAGAGGAAAAAAGAAGAAAAAGTTCATATTTTAATAACCCGATGATTAGGGGAAAAAATCCTATTAATTTCAAAACTTGAAATGCAGTTATAACTCTCAATTCCCTAACTATTGATTTCATAATTTGGCTCATAACAAAATACATTCAACTTGGCCTCCGTGAAAGAATTTGAGCACCCAACCTAAATCATTAAGACAATGGGTGGGGTACCCCAGGATATCATAATCCCTTTCAAAATCCTTACACAACCAATGTACAATTTTATTATCCAACAACACCTTCCTCCACGTGTAACACAATTCTAGGATTGACACATGACTTTGAAGACTTTTTTTCATTCTTTTTTTTTTTTTTTGGAGAAGACTGAAGAGTGGACTTGAAGTGAAGAGATAGGCTGAATAGAATTAAGTCTGGAGACTTGAAGACTTTTATTGCTTTTTTTGGGGAGTAAATCTGAAGACTAGACTTGAAGGAGGGAGAGAGAGAGAGAGAGAGTAGGCTCAATGGGCCAAGGAATGGGTATGGAGAAAAGTTAGTGTCTCGACCGGTTGAACTGAGAGAGAGAAGCCCATAGAAAAAAAAAATTTACTAATGTATAGAGAAAATGACTCTGAAAGTGGGCTTACCAAAGTTTGGCTATGATATCATGTTAAAGCAATCCGAACATCCGACTCAAAACCTTAAAGCAATGGTGGAGCAGCTATGTTGCTCGGACTCTCCGAAAATATTGTCGGGTGCGTGCTGGATTCTCCAAAAGCAGTGTATTTTTGGAGAATCCGACACGGGTGCGGCAGTATTTTGAAGAGTCCGCGCAACATAGTGGAGCAGCCCAATAGATTATAATCCCCTTTAGGGACAATTGTATTATCTAACAGCCTGAAATACTTCGTACCACTATGCAAAGTTTTAGCCCTAATTCTTGAAGTCCAATGACCAAAAGCATACAAAACATAGATTTTTAAAGTTGAAGTTGCCTTAAACAAATGAAGAAAAGAACAGGATCTTCGCTTACCCAAAGCCATCTTCAGACCAAACGGTTTCGTAGACTCCAGCTGCAGTTTTAAATCCCATATCAGCCATGTCTTCATGAATCATGGCTGCCGCAACAGCATATGTAACTCCAGACCATATCTCCCTTGATTGCAAACTAGATGAGTCAGGCTCTCCATTGGGCCGCATCCCATTCACTGCTCCTCGTTTCCCATCCTTGACCTTCATGACATTGAAATTGAACACTGTCTCAAATGTAGTTTTAGCTTTTTCTTCATCAACAATTGGTAGAAGACCACATGCTCGAGCGTACCTACAGATAAAGCAAATGGTGATCATGAAAGAAGAAGAGGCACCATAACTTAATCAAATGCATCACCTACATTGGTATAACAGAGACATGATCCGTGTGGAATGCACATAGGAGAATGCAGGGGCATGTACCACAAAATGAAAAGAATGGTGCAGAAAAATAATGATCCAATAAATGGAATGACATAAAAACAAATGTTTAAAACGTTGAAGAAAAACAAGGGTGACATTCTGTTTCAATATTTATCCTTTGGTCTTGATATATATATATAAAGAGACTCCAACACATACCATTGTCCAGCCAACTGATCAGCTTGAATGGACGAGCTTACGGCACTGCCACTATTATCGTAGTTAAAGTAAGAACCATTCCACAATTTTTGATAAACTTCCTTTGCTTTCTGAAACTTAAACCAAAAGTAGTCTTCAGAACCCTTGTCACCAACTTCTCGAGCTAAGGCTGATGCAGCCTGCAAAGCTGCCACCCATAGGCCACCACTGTATGCACTCACACCAGAGACAGACCATACATCATATGTCTGATCAGGAAATCCTTCATTTTCTATCATCCCATCCCCATCCTTATCAAATTGATCCATGAAAGCCATTGCCATATACACAGATGGCCAAACAGCTTCGACAAACTTTTTATCACCTGTCGCAACAAAATCCCTGTAAACTTGAAGAACAAATTTTGGATTCAAATCTTTCCACCTATCTGTGTTATACAGGCAATAGTAATTTACTTCAAACCAGGGATCATCCATTCCAATATCATGAGGAACAGCGCCAAGAACTTTCCTTGTCGCAGACATTCCATCATCCAAGAGCAATCTCTTACTTGGATCATGCATCATCACAGCAGCTGCAAAGTCTCGTTGTATGCTAAGTTCAAGTTCTGGGAATAGCATAGTCAAAGCAAAAGATGCATAAAAATGAACATCATATGTGTTACACATATAATATTCAATCCCTTCAAGATAGAGGAACTGGCCAACATTTTCCTCTCCCTTCTGAAGAAGATTTGTCCCGACAGCAGCATTTACTGAGACAGGAGTTTGAAGTTCATCAAGCACCGAGCCCATCCTTTCAAGAATGAGAACAGCAGTATCATCTGACTGGGTTGGATCAGCACTTACTTTTACATCCAAACTAGATCTATCTATGGAAAATCTTTTCCCAATTGTTGATAATTTTTGAACTGGTGGCAATCCATCTAAAAATTAAAATAAAAAAAAAAAGAACATGAATGCTACAGTTAGTTTATTAAAGAACCACTAAAGCACATGAAACCAAAATACCTGTCCAAATTGTCCCCCCAGCATTTAAATAATAGAGCTCATTGAAGAGAGTTATTGGATACCTGCAAAAAAAGACGAGAAGTTCTCAAAATCTGGTAATGCATGGTGCACATAAGAAAATTAAAGCTCACCATTCGGGAAGCCTCTTGTCTTCAATTATAGGTTTCTGCCATTCTTCTATTTGTGACTCCCACTGGGTGTGCTCTGAGTTCCATCAATAAAATAATATATAAAAGAAGTATTTTTGGATATGTACATCCTGAGGATCTTAGATGATTGTATCAGTAGATGAAGACAATATCAAATGGAACCCAGTATATCCGAAAGTCCATCTTTAAATGATTAGGAGCACAAGTTGAGAATATGGTAGCTTTAATGAAACTTTACCCTGGATAGCATCATGTGCAATTTTTGCAGCAGCATGCCCCGTAGTACCATAAAACTTTGTGTAGCGCCTACAGCAACATTAATCAGGAAAAGCACAAGAAACATGTTATATCATGTATACAAACTTGTAGAAAGTTATAAGTTATAACTACTTGCCTGTGATAAGTTCTACCACTTGCAAAATTAATTTCAGGGCAGGCCCATGCCAATGAGAATGTCACACTTTTTACATCATCTGCTGGAATAGTTAGTGAAGCTGCAACTGCCGCTCCAACAAGTGATCCCGGATCAGAAGGCATTGACATTTCCTCAGATTGGAGGTGATCAAAGGATCCATTCTATCAGAAAAGGAACAGGTCAAATTCTGTCAAGATTGATGATTTCTTTTCCTTTGATAAAATCTAATTTTGTTAATGACAGGAAAATCTCTAGTATACAAGCAGTATACCAAAATTTAGAGAACCTAAAAAAGAATGATATTAAAATAAAGACAAGGAAAAGAACTGGATAAGCAAATGAGAAACAATTCTTTTATTAAATATTTCAATATAGAATGAGTTTAAGCCATGCAGGAACAGATCTACATTAGCCCAAGTGGTGTCATGTGACTCTGTTCGTCGATTTTTTATGTATATATAATTAAAATGTAGAACCAAAAAAACAGGTTAAACAGAATAAGGTAACACCACTTGTAACAAAAAGCTATGTAGCTCATTCAGTCAGACGCTTAAGTTTCCTATGCGGGGCTGCAGGCTTGAACCGCTATAGCTTCATTTTTATTTTAATACTTCAGCGCCTCATCTTATAAATGTCAGGGGCGGATTTATCTTAACCCAAGCGGTGTCACGTAACACCGCTTCGTCGAAAATCTTTACTAATTATTTGTATATAATTCAAATGAAAAAACAAGAAAACAATAAAAACAAATAAAGTGACACCACTTGTCACAAAGAGCTCTATAGCATAACCGGTCAGAGGCTGAAGTATTCTTAGTGAGGTCGCGAGTTCAAACCTGCCTTAGGAACATTTTATGTTCAAGCACGGAATTTAGTGGATCCGAAGTTATAACAAAGAGACCAACACATTACAACTTCCTTTTTAAGTTGTATTTTTATTGGTTGTTTTTTAAAATATGATATTATTTTAATTTATTTGTTTTTCACGTCTAATGGTGACACCGCTTACAAAAATTCCTGCGTACGCCACCGATAAATGTACCAAAATGGACCAGAGGGGTTAGAACCGCTCACCTATTAGGCCATTATCAAATCACCAAAGCAGTGGATGCTGCTGCTTACTTTGTAAGTTTTGTTATTGTTTTTTTTTCCTTTGGTGTTGTTTGTTTTGAATATGATGTTATTAAAATAATTTGTTTATTTGTTCACTTTTAAAATGGTGACACCACTTACAAAAAATCATGCGTATGCCACTGAAACCATGTACACTTCCCCTTCAAGGTGGACATGAGAAATAATATCAATTCAACACCAAAAAAGAAATTCAGAAAAAAGACCATAACAAACTGATTGTTTGCTGGCTCTATATTCTATAAACTAATATTCTTATTGTCCTCATGAAGTCTTCAGAACCCTTAGTAATAATGATGTGAAAACTGCTTTAGGTGCACAGAGTAAGCAATTAGTCGTCCAGCAGTAGCGGAAACTTCTAACACCAGACGCATGTTTAAATTTGCGTAGGTCCTCCTGGTAGATAGCTCGAAGGAGACAAAGTATCAAATATAGCCACACAGAGACAAGTATACAAAATTTCAAAGAGAGTATTAAGCAGATAATGGAATTGTTAAGCCACTTTTGGAAGCATCATGAATAGATTCTAATCTGCAATTAAATAGGGTTTTTAGGCCATCTACTAATTAGACACTTCCCTTCTTCCTATTTCTGGTACTGGTCAAATAGCTGAATAAATGGAAATATGGTAATCAGTGAGGCCCTTTAGACACAGGGATTCTTGTCCTCTTTTCTAGATTCTTTGCTAAGGAGGGAGTAGAAAGTATGATTTTGAGGATTCTCTCTCTCTC